ACTCACAAGGAATTGCTGTGACGCAGAATCTATGACAAAGTTGCACCTTTGGCCACCCAGCTTTCCTGTCACGTTGACACTATGTGTGCTTGCCATTTTACACTGAGCTGTTGGGACTTTCACAATGGGGGTTGGTGGGCATCCGTCAGCCCCAACCACTACTGGTTTCCCGAAGCTGACTTATTGGTGGTATTCTTCTTACACTGGCTCCTCATATGTCCTTGCTCTCCACAGTTCCAACAACCTTTCTGGTTAGCAGCCTTTCCTGCTGTGGCATCTTCCCTGTGTTGAAGTTGCCAACACTGAGCTCTCTTGTGCTTAGTTTTTACAGTGCCAGCAAAATACCTCGAACTTCTCTGAAAGCTGCCCTTTTCTGTCCTTGAATCCTGATGAGTGTACCAACCTTGGTACCTCTGTGCTTGACTTAACGTAGGATTCAAATTCAAGAGCTCTGGCCATTGCATCCTACATAGTAGAGGGATGTGCTTGCTTTACTTGTATCTTCAGTTGTGGTCTGTCCAAGGCATCTACAAACTGATCCCTCAGCAACAACTTGAGGAGATCGGGTGGCGCAGTTGGGTTGGCCTTGTGTGCCATACTTTCCAAATCCTGTGCCAGCTGACATTCCAGAAGTTAAACAACATATTAGGAAGTTCATCAATCCTTTGAATGCCAGACTTCAACATATTGTTCATCATTCAAAGTGGTGCATCAGACATTGGAATTGGAGCAGCTCTCCTACAAGAACATGAAGATGGACTGTTTCCAGTAACTTATGTAAGTTAAAAGCTGTTGAGTGGTGAGTAGAACTAATCTATGATTGGACGAGAGTGTCTGAATATCATATCTGCCATCTACTGGAAGGAGTTCATGATCCAGACAGACCATCAACCCCTTGTATACATCCAGAGATGCAAAATCAACAGTGCAAGGATCAAGAGGTGGGTGTTGTATCTTCAGAGCTACCAGTTCCATACTGAAACCATCAAGGAGACTGCAAATTTTGGTGCAGACTGTATGAGTAGACTTTGGGTATGAACTGAAAACAATTTTTACATATAGCATAAAATAAATTTTGTAAATATTTTTCTTGAAAAGGAGCTTATTGTTAAATATACACGACTGTTTCATTTGAATTTAATACAAGAGTTATGATTTAGACAGTTATAAAGCAAAACTGCTAAATTAAGTTGTTTTAGAAGTGATAATTTGTCTACATAACTGTGTACAAATCATTGTTGCTGGTGATTGTTGTATTGTTGTGTCATGTTACTAGAATCTTCTAAGTTTTCTCATTGTTTTATTATGTATTGTTACATCATAATGCCTCACAGTTTGTAGAAAGTTCTAGGCCTCAGTCGAGCAATATGTGTATAGCTAAAGTGGAGATAATGTCTGTGTTGATACCAGCTCCATAGTCATCTATACTAATTATCAAAATTTGCTGTTGATACAACTGCCAGAACATAGCAACGTGAAAAAATCTTGCCTTCTTTCAGGCATTATGCAAAGAAAGATTTAGATAATTTCTCTAAGCCCTTAAAAGCCCGTATGCTATGTGTTTTTTACTTGAACACATAAAAAAAGTTATATCTGAATCCCTCCCCAAAAACCACCTACAAAATAAAATCATAGCTGAAAAGTACAATTTTAAAGTTTCATTATAACTAATTTTAATCAATATTTATTTTGGATAAGCCAAACAGCATGCCTTTGCCAATCAAATTACTCAATGTTGACAATCCTCCAGCTCCTATCACCCATGGAGAAGGTTTGTGTGTTTCTTTGTAGTTAAAGCAGAAAACTACACAATAGGTTATCTGTGCTCTACTCACCACGGGTATCAAAACATGGTTTCTAACATTATAAGTCTACAGACATACCGCTGTGCCACTGGGAGCCCCAGTGGAGAAGAATAAACCATTACCTGTCCCTGTCTTCTAATTAATAATGTCATCTAACAATAAAGTAAAAGAAGAGATGATGAAAGCCCGAAATAGAAGCTAGGGTTGCAATTCTTTTTTTTTTTCTTTACTCTACTGGAGTTTGTTAGGTAATGGATACATGGTCTGCTTTATCCAGAAGTGATCCAAGTGTCACTTCTTCCCAGCAACTGGACACTATCAACCTAGCCAACAGCAGCCAAAAAACTCAGTGATGCATCACTTGTCCATTAGCAGGTTGACAGAAGAGGCACCATTATAAAGATGAAATACAGGCTCACATAAAAACACGAATTGAAAGAAATTAATACACTGAACTTTCAACTGAAAGAACTACAAATAAACCTCAATGTTGTTTTTGAAAAAGACTTCCATTCAACAAGGAGAGTTAACTTGGCTGAAAAAATTGCAAAAGCTAAAGGTGAACCATAGTCATTCTATTCCAGCTGCATTTGTGCTTGAAACCATAGCATTGGTTTTAGAAGCTACTATATACTTCTTTATTGGTAAAGTAAGGATGTAGAAGTTTCCAACACAGCCCAAACCATCATCCTGGAGGAGTTTAAAGCAAAATACAGTGATATGTTGATGACATTATTGCCAAACCCAAACCACACAGTGGTTGACTTCCAGGGTCTTCATTCTTCAGGTATAACAGTGGCATTAAGGGGAAATAAAACAAATCCGGGATAACAGAAGAACATTTTTGGCTAGAATATCTCTCTGAAAACCAACATCAGCTGGCCCATGCCACTGATCTTCTTTGGCAGATGTATCAGAAAAAACATGAAGTGAAGCCCTGGCTAGCCATTCCAACCAGCCTTAGTAGACCAGAGTTACTGAATGTAAATATGTATTATTGTTTATATTTAGTTTTAATTTTTGTTCCATCACTTTTGTGGACATTTAATTTGATAAGCCTATATTTTTATGTGTATATATAACTAAGTATCTATGTTTTTATGTAAAGAGGGCCAATTTTGCTCAAAAGATTTTATTTTTGTACTTTGTAATTTATACATGGAAAAATTTACAAGAGAAAAGGTTTATAGTGATGCCATAAATTACGACTGACAGAAAAGTTGACTAAGCACAAATGATTTATGCAGTAAGTGTGGAGCATAATCTTTGTGGTATGAGGTGTATGAGCTGTGAGTAATATGTTGCTTGTTAGAAAGAATGCTTTAATCCTATTCTCAACTATCTTGAGCCAACTGTCATTCAATAAAAAAGGACTTTAACATAAACACCAACCCTATTAAAACAGATCAAAAAATATTAGCTACAACAAAACTAAAAAAATGGCAAAGCTGCAGATATAACACAAACTGAACAGCTGAAAGCAGGAAGAGAAACAATGCTAGTTTAGCTCACATATTCATGCAGTAAGGTATGTCCATCTGAAGAAGTACCAAAAGAAAGATTGCAGGATTGTTGTTCTCCCAAGGAAAGGTGACCTGGTCTAATGTAAAAATCTGGAGAGCAAAATAACCTACTGTCAGTATTAGAAAAACAATAGAGAATTCTCAATAGCCATGACACTTGAAATTCTTTTAAGCAGGATTAGAGTAAATTAATCTGAGACTTTTTTTTCCTTTTTGTCAGCTATACATTTGTGCATCAGCAATACCAAGCATGGGGTGTGCATATACCCTATTTGATTTTATTACTCAACAGGATCTCAACCAGCCTACCCACAAATTGAAATTGTTTTAGGCAGGATTAGAGTAAATTAATCTATGAGACCTTGGGTGTGGTCAAATACATCAATCAAAAGAGTTTTACCTCCTGAGTCCAGAACTGTAATTAGATCTCAAATCAGTCAAAAGATGACGGAGCTATGAACTAAAAGTTTGAGCTTGAAAACTTAGAGCCATTTTATGAGCCACTATGCCACAGTTGATTATGGCAAGTTTGGTGGTTAATAGAATGAAAATGGTTACTGTAGAACAGGAACAGGTTTGTTATCGGCAGAAATGATCCAATTATGAACATATTCTTATACACTGATAAGTTATAAAGTAAGCAATTGTATTTCAGATAGTGTACAATTACTAAAAGTTATGACATTACAAAAAGTTCTATGAGGACAGACAATATGTAGTTAAATGGGTGGGTAGTTTGAAATTATCATAGAAGTTAGGCAAGGATATGTAATATCTGAAGTGCTATTTGCTTTGGTAATAGACTGGATAATGAGGAGAGCAACAGAAATGCAAGCAATGGGTATCAAATAGGTCAAAACTGAGTCTCTTGGGTTTGCTGATGGTATAGATCTACTTAGTGACAACTGGCATGGAATGGTAAATTTGACATCTAGAGTATAAACAAAGGCTGAGAAAGAAGGTATAAAGATAAATGTTGTAAAGACAAAAATAATGAACATAGACAACTGGAGTACAGATGAATAAATATATGTAAAAGAAGTACCAAAGAGAAAGTAGAATAATTCTGTACCTATAGAGTATATACTGTTTAGCAATGTCAAATGTGACAAAAAAATCGGGGTTTGCCTTGGAAAAGCCAATAAAGCACTTGGCAAACTATCCAATATCTTGTAGAAAAGATACAGATTTATATACCAGAAGATTAGTCTTGTCTTATCAACAGTATTATATGGTGCAGAGATCTGTCCATGAATAGAGGTGGCAAATATGAAGCCACCAATAATAAATGTCTAAGATAAATATTGCACATTTTTTGGAAAGTTAAAAAGACTAATATGACTAAGCTGAATGGAGGATAAATGATGAACAAAGCAAGCACTAGACTGGCTGCTGGAAGGGAAAAAAATTGAGCAAAGAAAGCCTGGAGAAAGAATATTGGCAAGGATATGTAAAATAATGGTGTGACATAGTAAGATATTCATAAGAAGGTGAAAACTTATGATGAGTGAAAGAAGCAGACTGCCTAATTTGATTTAACAAAGAAAGATCTGACTAACTAATTACAACATGTCTTCTAGTCTGTAATCAGCCACTCATCTGTTTAATATCTCCTGCCAATAACACTTATTTATTTATTTAACCTCACACCGAGTCTTGTTTCTTTTTTCTAACAGCCACAAGTCCTTCTACATACTAAGTCCAAGAACCTTCCATTATTGCAAAGAACAAATAACTGTGTGCTAAGTTTATTCTTGGAATACTACTTATCCTTTTGTTCTTTAGGCAGCATTCTAAGTAGTTTAAGAAGTGTTTTAATGGCAGAAGGGTGAATTGCTAAATGTAAAGTCAAAATTTGAAAAATAGGTTTACAGTTGATAACATCAAAATCCATTAATATTGAAAAATTTGAAAGACCTTTGTGTATTCAGTTTTCTCCTACTTAGGTTAGGATAAGCATCATTCACTATATCTTTCAGTCCCATTACTAATAAGATTTTTTAGTAAACTATAAATTGGGCTACTATTACAATTGGTACTTTTCATACCTAACCCAACCTAATTTATTGTGGTTAACTGTTATTAACTGATATGAATAACCTGATGAATACATTTAAAGTATAATTTATAGTTACCTAACAAAGACGAAATGTAAGTTGTAATATTCTCTATCTGATACTATTAACATTTTATACTTTATACAACTGGAAAAACTATAAATTCAGAAGTGCCAGATAATAAGAAAATTTTTTGAAACTGGGGAAAAATTATATGTACAGATGGTTTATATGTGTGTAATTATAGCTTATTTCAAGGTTAATACTGCAACGTATGCACTAAAATGTACTCCATGCGTGGTGGATGCACTTAAGTAGAAGTTATTTTATAAGATGTTCCTGCTACAATTTAGTAAGGTTAATAGTTATATGATAAATCATCTCACAGTAACAGCTGGTAGCTAGAAAGACAGAAATATTTTAAAATTTTGAACATAATCACTAAGGAATCCAAGGAATGTTAAAAACAATGTTACTGTTTTATTTTTAGTATATAGAATAAACCAAATATATATTTTTTTATTATGAGTACTAATCAATAGTAAAATATTGTAAGTATAAATAAGTTACTTTTATAACTATGTAAATTAGTTTAAATTATTATTATTTTCAATAAATATTTGATAAAAAAGTTTTTATTACATCTTGTATTCTTGGTTAATATGCTAAAGTGTGTGAATTTCATTTGAATATTTGTTAGTACTTACTACTGGCATAATGTTGTATATACTATAATTAGTCATTGATAACCATCCTTTTGAGCACTAAAATGAAGTACAATGGTAAGTATACTAGGAAAGCATTACAGTAAGCTGACAAAGATTTATATGTAATCTAAAAATATGTATAGACTTGGTTCACTATCAATGACAGAAAATTTTTATAAGCTTTTTCAGAGTATAAATATTACTTTTATCTTAGTTAAATAATAAGACTTCCTGGCTAAATTTTATCTTCAAATACAATAGGGTATACCGTTTAAATCAAAACGTATAGGTAGCTCTTAACTTGTTCTTCTTATTTCAGCTCTATAAATGTTTTTTAACAGAATCAGATTTTGGTGGATATTTCTCACATGTTTTGAATGCGGTGCAAATATCAAAACTTCTAATTCCTTGTACACTGAGAATACAGTTTAACCAGCTTACCTTCACTTGCACTACTTCATAGTTTTCTGCATTTTCAGGTGCTACAACCTCATACAACAGTTGCTTAAATATGGGCTTCTCATCTTGAATATCATTAATCAGGACAGTGACACTGACTGTAGCAATGCGTGCATCTGGTGCTTTATCTTTAGCAGTAACTACCAAATAATATGATTTCTGTTCTTCGTAATCCAAAGCTTTTTTTGTGAAAAGTTTCCCTGAGTCAGGATTAATTTCAAAATCACTGTGCAAGAAAGAAAACAAAAAAGTATTAACCTTACTTTGGTGAAAAGCACACATAAGAAAAAATTAAGTTAATGCAAAAACAAAATTAATAAGAGATGAATGGAAGAAGTAACAATGCAAAACAACTATGCATTAGAATTTTCTAAATTTGATACAGACAATTTCCAATATGGAACTTAACCTATACTGTTGATTGCAGAATTTGTTGAGTAGACATGGAAGGTTTTCAACTGTTATCTAAAGTTCCACAAAGAAACAACATTTCAACTACAAGATATTCATGGAAATAATTGACAGTAAGACCGTATATCGAAGGACAGAGGTTAAGATGAAAGTCTAAGATACAAAAAACTATTTAAGAAATAAAAGTACAGAAAATATGAATAAGCAAATACTTTGTGATACAAATTCTAAAACATTTTGCTAGCTAAAAGCTTGAAATATTTTTTTTCCTCTTCAGTGACATCTGAAAGAAAAGTTTGGGTTTTGAGAGCTAACTACTGAGATGATCTGTTAGTAAAAATAGTGAAAATTAATTACCAGAGAAAAAAAAATTAACCTAACATGGAGATAAACTTCAAGCATGGGTCTAGTTTGTGAGATGGAAAGAATGTGGAAGTTTTGTTTGTTAACTCTCTCAGAATGAGCATCATTTTGTGCATCTATCAGGAGGTTTTAGTGAGTTACAATGAAAATTTTTAATTAAATTACTTTATTATCATTGTATATGAATAAACTTGGCATAAAAACATAACTCATATTCCAAATCTTAATATCATACAACTTTTAAGTTCTTAATTTTCTAATGCAATATTTAAAAAAAAATCCTAAATTTCCCCATGTGCAAGATTTGTGTTATTTGCTTTCTAGGTATCTCCTCTTCTCTAATTTATTCACCACCCTTCTATGAAGCATGAAATTTAATGTAAATTACTCACTATACTGTTGTCATCACTCAGGCAAAGCATAATTTTTATAGCCTTCAATCTTATTTGGTTAAAGAGCCATAAAATAGAAAATCATATCCCCACTTTCCATGCCCTCCTGTCGCATCCTCTCTTTCACAAATTGCCAAAAGTTCTCTCTGATGTTTAATACTAATAATAGGCAGCCAAAATGTTAATCTATCAAATGACATTCTTTTATTTACATAGAAATGTCTATTTCACTTCCAGTTCAAACTTTACCCTCATGGGAAAAACATTGATGAGCTCAGCTGAATTTTTAATGATTGTTGTCACACAGTTAAAAAGCCAGAAACATTGTGATAGTTATGGGCATTGTCTGTTTTTTGGATGTTATTATTCTGTGCCTTTGGTATGCTATTTAATTAAATAAAAAATTATTTAATGTAGCAGTACCATTAGTATAAAAAAACAGGGTTAAGAGTCATCAACAATAAACAGGGAAAAAAAAAAGCCCAAATTATGGTACCATATTTCTAGTTCTTCATGTGTATTTTTTACTTATTATTATAAAAGAAATTAAAATGTAAAAAGTAGAAACTTTTTAGGTTAGACAAGGTAAAAATAAAGAATAATAATAATACAAATTTTCACAAAATATGCTCGCAAGTAGCCTATGCATAATGTAATTCAATAGGATAACATGAGCTCCATGTTCGCCAACTAATTTACAAATTTTATGGTGGAATATTAATTTAGACAAGGTTCTAAGAGCAATAAAACAATAAAATTTAAGTATTTTCAGATGTATACTGTTACAAGTTTAAAGCTATTTACAATAATCAAATGTAGTTTCATATTACAATTTGAAGTCATTCTAGAAAGAAAAAAATGGTAATTTAGATTAATTTCGAATTTCTTTTTGGTGGTTACAAAGTTGGTCAAATTGACCAACTTCATATAGAGTTAGAGTAGAGAAAATAACAGGTGAAATATAAAGTTATACCAAAAAATAACGTTTTATAATTACTTAGGAGGTTTTAGAGATTACATAAATGAAATTTGAAATTTTTTGAGGAACAAAAGTATTTTTAATTTTAACATGAAAATCATTTTGCACTCGAACTAGTAAACAAAACTACTTGATATATTCACATAAAATATAATTTTTATGTGCAAAAGTCTTGTAAAGTTTACTGAAAGTGCCAAATTTTGTGAGAATACACATACTGTATTAAGTTATAGTATGGAAACAGTTGATTCTATGGAAAGAGCTAAAAAAGGCCTTAATAGCAATGAATAATGATTTATTCCTTCAGTAAAGTTGATAGAGCATCTGTTTACTGTCTGTGTGAATGCATGGTATGTGTGTGTATGAAGCCTTGGGTTCAATCACAAACTGCATAGATACAAAAAAATGGGATACACACATCAGTAATCTTATAATAAGGTATCAAGAAAATTTGCATTCTAAAGGAATATCACATATAGATTTAAATTCTATAGCTAGATATATATATTTCCAAAGAACAACTGGTTGATGAAAGTACATGTACAATAAAAATGAATATAATGTAAGGTATAATCCAACATTTTATGAATAGCCCTATGGTCTTTTACTTGATAGTTCTTGTTATACAATAATTAGCAATGTGCATTTTTGAAGTTCCACACAAATTCATTTTCTATCATATTTACTGTATCTTATATTATATGGAAATAAAATTTATTTAATGAATGAGGTATTACATGGACATATACAAATTTATTAAGAAATGAAAAAATACTAAACCACATGAAACACATAATATATAATTTTGCTGCAAAAGAATGTTGTATTTCTATTTCTCATTTCTTTCTAGTGGGACAACACCATGATCCTTACTAGGACCCAGATTAAATGAAAGAAAATGAACCCTGCACCACAGGTGTAACAGTTCTTCTGAAGTTGTCAAGATCCGCAGGACCAACCAGGACTAGCAAAAAATATATGCAAGTTTACACACCATTAGTTCCAATACCATTAGCAAAAAATTGGTTCAAGACACAATACCCATGGACTTGGACACAGATTCATGCTATTCCATAGCCCCACTACCAAATGATGCAAAACACAAAAGCTGACGACAAAGGATTTAGCATTGTCAGAAGACAGGAAAAAGAAGACTCTAAGGGTAAGTTTAGTTCTGATGATCAAGCTAACACACAAACACTTAACATAGTACCAACCGCTAACATCACACCATGTAACACACCTATAGTGCTAACCAATACATCTAATGCAGCTCCACACAAAAAATGAAACATTCCAGCACTAATAGTTGAAGGAGTTCCACATATCATTCTTCAACCACAAATTGCCACTGAGTTTAGAAAACATTTTTCCCACATTTAAGTTTAAAAAAATTAAAAAGCATCTTCCCAAAGATGGTCTTGTTGTAAAATGTGATCAACCTAAGGTGTATGTCCACCTACTAACCTACTGGCCTAAGGTGGCTCATGGGGGCAATACTCGCATACACATACCAGCAGACACCTACCAGTTACAATAGTTGTTAAAAGTGTAGACCACAATCTAAAAGAAACAGAAATTCATGAAGAACTGGTAGCATCAGGCTATCAACGTCAGAAAGTAGGGAGAGTTTTATATCTTTCCATTCCGAACAAAAGACACCACTGATAAAAATTTCATTTGAAAGCAAAGAACACTACAACTCTCTACTTACCAATGGATGCATCCTTTTTTTTATAAAACACATAAAACAGAAACTGTCAAGTCATCATTAAAACACTTCATCCAGTGTTTCACATGTCCGAAATTTGGGCACTCTAAACCTTACTGTAACACCAACCCCAGGTGTAAAAGATGCAAATAGTCACACAATGTGGAGTGTTGCTCTAATCAGCGTGACAAAGTTAGATGCACCAACTGCTGACACCTAAGAAGCAAAGTTTTAAATCTCCCTCTTGCACTCAGACTTACCATCACAACCCTAACATGCTAGAATATCCCTCCTGCAAACTCCATCAATCACTGCTACTCTTACACAACACTCTAGGTGTATTTCTACTTCCCCAGATACCCAGTAGCATTGCAAACCACTCTACCTTTTAACCAGATAGTTCCACAGACTTTTAACTTCACAGTAAACAACACATTTAGTGACCAAAAACAACACATCATGACATATGCAACTGCTGCCTCTTGTAACACAACAACACAGAACACCAAAGTAGCATGCAAGGACCCTATAAATATTGGTGAATACACTGTTAACGTTGGAGCATTCTTCATTGAGCTATGCAAGTTTCTCCCTCAATGGCAGTTACCTGAAACTTGTAATGAAGCACTAATTGCACACATAAGTAACATGGCTGAGTATTATATTAATCTTCCCAACCTAAAGCCACACTACATAACACTATCCATAGAAACACATAAGCTTAAAGCAGCTAATTCACACACAACTTAAAAATACTTTACACAGCTTCATAATCTCAACAACAATGTCAATGCAGATATAATTATAATTTCTGAAACATTTGCCAAAAAAGAAATAAGTGCCACTATCCCAGGGTTTAAATCTTACTCCATCCCTGCCAAAACAAATAACAACAGAGGTATAGCTGTCCTTTTTAAGAATAATTTAGCTAGCAAGCTAAAACACATGATCCCAGCCAAACCATTGGATTTATAGATCCCTGACAACCTGTGACCCTGATTATGGGCTGTCAATTTTTGAGTCTCATCTCAACAACAAATGAAAGTATATTTTGTAACATTCATTTAGATAATGTTAATGTGATACCAATAGTGGCCACACATAGATCCCTCTTGAAAGCCTTAGACTTAAATTATCTTCAAGCATGTAATAAATAAACACCTAAACCAATAATTATAGAAGATTTATAAGCCCCACACAGAGATTACTTCAACATTCACACAAATAATAGAGTAACTTTACTCTACACTCTATTGGAAAATAATAACATGCATGTAATTAAAACACCCCAAAATGATACAACTCAGCAAATAATATATATAAAGTTTTATATTACTTTATTGTATAAACTCGTTACTTCCAAAATCTAC